ATGGACTTTTGTGCCTATTTTTACTCAATGTAAGTTTTTTGAGAGTGTCCCATGTTGTTGTGTGTTCATTCCTTTAAATTAAGTATGAGTAGGGGCGCCTGGGTGGCGCAGTCGGTTAAGCGTCCGACTTCAGCCAGGTCACGATCTCGCGGTCCGTGAGTTCGAGCCCCGCGTCAGGCTCTGGGCTGATGGCTCGGAGCCTGGAGCCTGTTTCCGATTCTGTGTCTCCCTCTCTCTCTGCCCCTCCCCCGTTCATGCTCTGTCTCTCTCTGTCCCCAAAATAAATAAAAAACGTTGAAAAAAAATTAAAAAAAAAAAATTAAGTATGAGTATATTCCACAGTTTATCCATTCTCTTGTTGATGGACATTTGGGTTGTTTTCAGTTTTAGGCTATTTTAAGGCTTTTATGGATATCTAAGTCCTCTGAGGATGTGAGTTTTCATTTCTCTTGGGTAAATACCTAAGAGTGGAATTGTCACCAAGTAACATGGGGTTCAGCAATCTAAAGATCCATTTAGGATGAAGACCCAAACCCTGCGTGGCCCTGATCACCTCTCTGCATGCACCCCCTTCTGCGTGCACCCCCTTCTCACTGAGCTTTGGTCCCTCTGTCCATGCTCTTCCCTCTGCCAGAAACACACTTCCTTCCCCACAGCTGCCTACCTTCCAATCGGGTCATTCCTGTCATAGGCATTCACAGCTCTGTGTCTGTGATGCCCCAGAACTTACCAAGCCTGAAGTTTTATGTTTCTGGGCACAATCATTTGTTTACTGTTTGCCTCTCACTCAGCAGCAAGCTCCATGAGGGCAAGTTATCTGCCCATTTTACTCACACAATGCCCCGCCTGGTTTCTAGCCTGTACTAGCTTGTACTGAGCATCCAGTACTCATTGGTGGGTGAATGAATCATGGCCATTCTGTACCCACCACAGATTCTGTTCTCCACTTTGGTAAAAAGCCCTTTTGGTCAGCCAGAGAAGGAACTGTGCCCTCATCAGGGATTTTCCAACAGTCTGGACTCAGTGAGAGGGGGAAACACCCAGGCAATCAGTTGTGTTCAGGCTGCCTGACTCCCAGGAAAGAGAAAAGCTTGAATTTCAATCTTAGTAGGTGTTGTCCTAAGCAGACCATTATCAAAACAAAATTCCTGCTTAAAGGGGCTTCTGATCCAAATAAGATAACAAGGCAACACAGGTAGCAAATACGCTACCTCGAACTAGACCAAAGGGGACTTGCTCCTGGTTTTGTTTCCCCTAGATTTTCTTTTTGAGCACCATGTCCTGGGGGCATTCTCAAGATGGCACTGGTTTTCTTGGAAGGCAGAAATTTTTCTTGGTAGACAGGAAAATGAAGTTATTCCAGAAAATATTAGAGGACAAAGAACTAGGCGATGAAATTTACTTCTACATTGAAAAGCACCCCTGTGAGGTATTTTTACCGTTTGACTTGCCAGAGCAGAGATGCTGATAGCTAGGAAGGCTCATTTCCCCAGTGTGGGCTGCGATTGTGAGTAAGGCCATTCAGGGGTGTGTTTAGGATACATTGTCACTCCCTCCTCCTCAGAGGCCCCGATACGAACGGTAATGATTACTATAACCTTACATTCCTTTCTATGATTCTGTATTTCTCGTGGGTGATTTCCTCCCCAGGTTGACTTCTCATCTGCCTAGAGTGCTCGTGGGTGATTTCCTCCCCAGGTTGACTTCTCATCTGCCTAGAGTGATAATAACGAGCCAAGTAAATGGATACTCTTTCTTCTGTGAGTGTTTTGGCTTTGCAAAAAGAGTGCAGAAATGTGATCCTAGACAATGGGTATGGTACAGAAAGGACTAGAGGTATTCAAGAAAACAACCTGATTACTTTTATTGCCATTATTTTAGGAATCGGCAAACTTCTACAGAAGGAATTGAATATGCTCTCCTGTCTTTAAATGGGGGTGGGTGATTCTTCAGTTGAAGAGGATTTGAGGAAGTCAAAGGTGATAATATGCATTAGAAAGTCTGCCAGAAATATTTGTCAAGAAACTCAAGTGTTCATACCCTCCAATCTAGTAATTCCACTCGTAGACGTCTGTCCTGTAGAATTAATCATAGATATGGACAAGTGTCTATTACAAGGAGGATCATTGCTGCCTTATTTATAATAGGGAGAAATTAGAAATGGTCTAAATGTTTAACAAAACCAGAATGGCTAAATAAATTCTCAGGTCTGCTTATTATAAAATATTATGATACTAAATCATGTTTGCAAAGAGATTTAATAACATGGGAAGATTCTCTGGCCAACTAATCTTTCACAAAGTAGGAAAGAATATCCAATGGAATAAAGACAGTCTCTTCAGCAAGTGGTGCTGGGAAAACTGGACAGCGATATGCAGATGAATGAACCTGGACCAGTTTCTTACACCATACACAAAAATAAACTCAAAATGGATGAAAGACCTAAATGTAAGACAGGAAGCCATCAAAATCCTTGAGGAGAAAGCAGGCAAAAACCTCTTTGATCTTGGCCTCAGCAACTTCTTACTCAACACGTCTCTGGAGGCAAGGGAAACAAAAGCAACAATGAACTCCTGGGACCTCATCAAAATAAAAAGCTTCTGTACAGCGAAGGAAACAATCAGCAAAACTAAAAGGCAACAGACCAAATGGGAAAAGATATATGCAAACGACATATCAGATAAAGGGTTAGTATCCAAAATCTATAAAGAACTTATCAAACTCAACACCCAAAAAACAAATAATCCAGTGAAGAAATGGGCAAAAGACATGAATAGACACTTCTCCAAAGAAGACATCCAGATGGCCAACCGACACATGAAAAATGCTCAACATCACTCATCATCAGGGAAATACAAATCAAAACCACAAAGAGATACCACCTTACACCTGTCAGAATGGCTAACATTAATAACTCAGGCAACAACAGATGTTGGTGAGGATGCAGAGAAAGAGGATCTCTTTTGCACTGCTGGTGGGAATGCAAGCTGGTGCAGCCACTCTGGAAAACAGTATGGAGGTTCCTCAAAAAACTAAAAATAGAACTACCCTATGACCCAGCAATTGCACTACTTGGCATTTATCCACAGGATACAGGTATGCTGTTTTGAAGGGACACATGCACTCCCATGTTTATAGCAGCACTATCAGCAATAGCCAAAGTATGGAAAGAGCCCAAATGTCCATTGATGGATGAATGGATAAAGAAGACGTGGTATATATGTGTGTATACACACACACACACACACACACACACACACACACACACTGGAGTATTACTCGGCAATCAAAAAGAATGCAATCTTGCCATTTGCAACTATGTGGATGGAACTGGAGGGTATTATGCTAAGTGAAATTAATCAGTCAGAGAAAGACAAAAATCGTATGACTTCACTCATATGAGGACCTTAAGAGACAAAACAGATGAACATAAGGGAAGGAAAACAAAAATAATATAAAAACAGGGAGGGGGATAAAACAGAAGAGACTCATAAATATGGAGAACAAACTGAGAGTTACTGGAGGGGTTGTGGGAGGGGGGATGGGCTAAATGGGTAAGGGGCACTAAGGAATCTACTCCTGAAATCATTGTTGCACTATATGCTAACTAATTTGGATGCAAATTTTTAAAAATAAAAAATAAAATAAAAAAAATAACTTAGGAAAATTCTCCTAGTGAAAGAAGTACCTAGAACAAGGCCTGAAATATTGTAGGCACTCAGTAAATATTTGTTTCATCAATACATGACTGGATTACTGCCAGAGAAATGAAGATTAACATTTAAAAAAAATTTTAATGTTTATTTATTTTTGAGAAAGAGAGAGAGAAGAGGCGGGGGAGGGAGAGAGAGACAGACGGAGAGCAAGCAGGGGAGGGGCAGAGAAAGACAGAAACAGAATCTGAAGCAGGCCCCAGGCTCTGAGCTGTCAGCACAGAACCTGATGAGGGGCTTGAACCCACAAACTGTGAGATCATGACCTAAGCTGAAGCCAGACACTTAACCGACTGAGCCACCCAGGTGCCCCTGAAGGTTAACACTTTTAAAAACTATAGGTAGGGTTAACACTCCTGGAAAGGCATTTTAGAGGGGGAAAAGAAGATAAAAAAATAGATCCCCCCGCCCCCACAAAGAAAGACCACCAACAAAAAACTTGATCTTGAATCTAAGTCAATGGAAAAACCTCTCTTCTGAGACATTGTAGTGTGTTTCACTAAAATGAGATTCTGTTAACCTACTAGTTCTTGGGCAACTATTTGTGTGTGTGTGTGTGTGTGTGTGTGTGTGTGTGTGTGTGCACTAAAAATTTTTCTGAGATGTTAGTTTGAGGGACTTTTCGAATTTAAAAGAATTTAATACTTTTACCGTTTTGTTAGGTGAAGAGTTGGAAATATTTTTATCTCATTAAACAGCTTCAATTCCAAACACCCAGACATAGCACCTGCCACATAAGCCTGTTTCCTACTCTTGTCCTCTAAGGTTAAGACTGGCAGCTGTGGGTGTTCTTGAAAGTGTGTGCCTTGTAGATTTTAGCTCATTTTGAAAAACTGGCTCATTGCCATTCTGCACTCCAGCTTGTGATACTTAAATAGGAGATTGAACTGAGCCAGATATAAAAGGGAGAGAGAGGGAGAGAGAGAAAGTGCGTGTGTAAGGTGACAGTGGGGAGAGGCCCCAGAAAGAAAACTAACAAAGATATATGAGTTGGAAGCCATACTCTGAGCCAAGGGCTGCACTTGTTGAGTGGAAATTGGGGGTCCACCTACAACATAAATGTTTCAAAACTAAGATCAGGACAGAAGCATCATCAATACCCAAGGACATCCTGAGGGATATGTAAGTTCTTTTTTTTTTTTTAAGTTGATTTATTTTGAGAGAGAGAGAGAGAGAGAGAGAGAGAGAGAATCCCAAGCAGGCTCTGCATTGTCAGCACAGAGCCCCACGCAGGGCTTGAACTCACAAACTGTGAGATCAGGAGCTGGGCTGAAGTAGAATGCTTAACCGACTGAGCCACCCAGGTGCCCCTGAAGTGAAAAGCACTGTGCTTCATGGCGTGGGAAGACTCGGCTTTGTGAAGTGAAAGAAAGCGTTATAATTTTAGAAACATTCTTTGAGAAAATAATACAATTTTAGGATAGAATACTGCAACAAGGAGACACAACAGTGCTTAAGAAACATTTAAATATATCCACTAAACCCTACAACATGTATCCCCAAGCCAACTTTCCTTCAGCTAGATCCCATAATGTCTAAGGCCACTTCAAAGCTCTCTGACAGGAGGGAGATTGTGATGGAAGGAAAGTCGGAGAGCAAAGACAGAGGTCTTAACTGATTGTGGTTAAAATACCATAAATTTGCAAATGTAACAAAAACATGTGCCTTTGTGAACACGTTGTTAGGGCTCCTTCTCAGGCCTTGCCAAGTTAGGGGCCTTGAAACTCAAGCTTCATTAACTTTGAGAGAAATCCTCCTCTGACCAGCCCCACCCCTCCTAGCATTTTTCTGCAGATTAAATCCGACTAAACTTAAAGGCAGCCAGTGGGATGAGTAGAAGGCAGAAATTATAGAAAGATCACAGTGGGGACTCATATTCCTCTTGCAAATATCAAGCCCTCAGACTGGGAGATGATGAAGGACACGTTAGGTCTTCGGGAAGATACATAAAGGAGTCTTTGGGCTGACAGGCCTCCAGAGGTAAGCATTAGCACAGACTGGAAAGTAAGGCTGTTTCAACCCAGTGGAGAAGAGAAATGACCTAGGAGGGCAGGGGGGTTATTTGGAGGTAAGAGAGCAAGGAGACAGTGTCTTGCCCAGATGCCTTAGTTTGGGATCTACAAGGAATACTCTCACTGGGCACTCAGTGCTGGCCTTGCAATTCCCTCCAGGCTGGCCAATGGAAAACTTGCACCAAGTTTCTCTGGAGAAGGCTACATGTAGGAAACAAAACAAAACAAAACAAAAACCAAGGTTGACTTTTGGGTGAACCTTAAATACTGGGCCGAGCCAGGCGTTGGGGGTGAGTCGTGGATGGAGGGTTGATGAAGGACGCACCTGCAACTCCAGGAATCCCGTGGCAGCCACAGCAGAAACAGGGAGAGCGTTGAGTATCTGGTGTTGGGTGGGTGGAAGTGTGGCGGGCCGGGGGAGGGAGGCAGGGAAGACCCTTGAATGAAAGATAAAATCAGACCCTTTAGGTAAATTAAAAGTACAATGCATGTGAGAACACTCAGAAACGGAAGGAGGCAAATTAGATACATCAGAGGGGCTGCCTATGGGAAAGGGTTAGGAGTAAGAATCAGGGTTAAAAGAGAACACATTGCTCACTCAGTCACTCACTCAGTCCACAATAAACAAGAGAGGACCATGAAAACAACCAAACAAACAAAACACTCCAACAGCAATGAGAGAATGTCAGGGTTTTTTTTTTTTTTGCAAAATGAGGAGATTCCCAATAATAATGCTTGGTAGGGTGGGCGTGGAGTAGTTTCTGACTCTTGGTTGTTCCAAGATTGTGGGGCTTTAGGAAACAGGGGCTCCCTCTCATGCAGGAGAATCGAAGGGATATTTTTATTTTATTTTTATTTTTTATTTTATTTTATTTTATTTATCTGAGAGAGACAGAGAGAGAGAGAGAGAGAGAGTGCACGAGCAGGGGAGGGGCAGAGGGAGAGGGGGAGAGAGAATCTTAAGCAGGCTTCAGGCCCAGTGTGGAGCCTGATACAAGGCTTGATCTGAGGACCATGAGATCATGACCTGAATGGAAATCAAGAGTTGGACGCTTCACCAACTGAGCCACCCAGGCGTCCCTAGAAGGGATATTTTTAAAAACTACTTTGTAGTTTTTGGGAAAACAATGATAATGCTTTTGTTTTTAAAAGATGCAAATAATACAGATTATTAAATGAGTTGAATCCACAGAAAGTACTTAAAAAGAATACCTGACACATAATAAGCCCTCAATAACTACTACAAAAATAACCTGAAATTCCACCACCCAGAGAGAACCACGATTATGATTTTGGTAAATGTCTTTTCTAGGAAATGTATCAATTAACTTACTTGTACATAAATGAGATCAAAGATCATTTCATGTCTAGGAATATAGACTATCCTTATGCTTTCTACAGTCTAGTATGTATTCCATTGTACAGATGTTCTATAATTTACGTAACCTGCTCATAATCTGTGACATTGAAGATGCTTCCAATTTTTTATCACGAAATGTAACATTGCTGGACCATGTACATATACCCGCCTCTTTGTACTTGTTTGAATATTCTCTTAGAGTAAGCTCCTAGAAGTGGAATAGTGTGGTCAAAGAATATGCACATTTGACATTTTAATACTGCCAAACTGCAGTACAGAAAAATTTGTTGATGTCTGTGCCCCCAGCAGTGGTGTGTGAGTATTCTGTTATCTCTCAACAAAGGGTGCAATTCTTTTCAATCTCTGGATACCTGCTGAGTGAAAAATACCTTATTGTCAATTATATTTGCTTTTTTGTTATGAATGTGATGGTTAATTTTATGTGTCAGTGTGGCTAGGCTTTGGTGCCCAGTTTTTTTGTCAAACCCTAGTCTAGATGCTGCTGTGAAAGCATATTTTAGAGGAGATTAACATTGAAATCAATAGCTCTTGAGTAAAGCAGACTACCCTCTGTAATGTGGTGGGCCTCATCCAGTTGAAGGCCTTCAGAGGAAAAACTTGGGTCAGTTTTTCCCTGGGTCTCCAGCCTGCTGTCCTGCCCTGCATGTTTTGGACTTGCCTGTCCCCACAATGGCATGAGCCACTTCCTTAAAATAAAGTTCAATTTCTAAATATACACATATCTTGTTGGTTTTGTTTTTCTGGAGAACCCTAACTAATACAATCAATGAAGTTGCCCACGTCAACTGTTTATTAGCCATCTGTATTTCTTTTCTCTTTTCTTCCTTCTTTCCTTCTTTTCCTTCTTTCTTTTTCTCTTCCTTCCTTCCTTCCCTCTTTCTTTCTTTCTTTCTTTCTTTCTTTCTTTCTTTCTTTTCTTTCTTTCTTTTTCTTTCTTTTTCTTCTTTCTTTCTCTTCCTTCTTTTCTTTCCTTCTTTCTTTCTCTTCTTTTCTTTCTTTCTCTTTTTTTTCTTTCTCTTTCTTCCTCCCTTCCCTCCCTCTCTCTTTTTCTTTCTTTCCTTCCTTCTTCCTTCTTTCTTTTTCTTTCTTTCTTT